TAGCTTTACCATATCTGTTTCGTCGTGTAGTACAACCGTTTTTTGTCTGAGTCTGATGTTATTCTTGTGTGTTGTGTTGTCTTAGTTATTTCTGGGTATACTAGTGGGCTTCTAAAAATAGAAGCCCACTAGTTCTTTCTGTTTGTGGTTTTGTTTTTACGTTATTTTCAAATAAATTTGAATTTTTTCGTCTTAGGTGATGCATTGATTTAAGATATTTTTGTAACTTGTAACGACACGGATTTTCCCGTTTCGTTATAATTTATGCTGGGGTATCCTCAGTCTTTTCCAGGGGGTCGCTACAATAAATTTATATTCGCGGAGACAGGACTTCTCAAATAAAAGATTGTGTGTTAAATTTTAAATGTAGATTTATTTAAAATATTATTAATTCATGAAAATAGTATTTAAAAAAAAGGAATTTAGTTAAACGTAATTATGTAAACTTGAGATTACTAATGTGTACAATTCAATGACATAGTATTTTAAAAAAACAAAGTAAATTCATTAAACGTGATTAAACTTGAGAAACTTGAGATTATTTCCTGGTATTCTGCTGTATCTGGAGGTTGTTCCTTTGGAGCTCGGTGATCTCTAATCTGGTTCCGTGGTTTGTATCTTCGTATGATTACTTGCTCAATGCGTACCTGTGTGGGACAGAAGGGTTAGTGTATATATACAAAAAATGTATTTCCTTGTTTGGTTATAGAATATCTATACAATAGTGTCCAAGTGTCTTGACTTAAAACCGCCCATGCACTTGTACACAATTATATATATATTTTAGTAATTTATACAACTAGGCTTAAAACCGCCACTGTGTCAGACAATATTTTTTTATATTTATTTATTTTATATTTTGACATACAATGCCACCGAGTGATCATACAAGACTCACTACCCTTACCAAAAATGCGTCGTCTTTTATACAGATCAGACGAGCTTTTTGTGTAGCGCACATACAATTGTTTTCTGCTGTTTTGTGAAGTTTTGTTTACTTTCCCGTTTGTATGTCTTACTTTCGTACTGTTCTTCAAGTTGTGCGCTCAACCGATCTCGTCTATCTCTTTGCGGCGAATTTCTATTTTGACGTTTTTGATATTTGCTTGTTATGTTTTGATTTGATAATTCTTGTAACTTTGCGTGCGGTGCTTCTTGTTTTTATTAAATTATTTGTAATTTAATTTTATAATTATAAAAAATAATTTATTAGAAAATTATTTAAATAAATTTGCGGGGATGAACAAAGAAGGTATGTATTTATTATTTTATTAAGATATATTTCTCTATTTATTACAAATTTATTATCTCCTAATTTCAGATTGCTTCACGTGTTGCAGTTGCGTGCAGGCTGGGTAGCTTTTTGGTAAGTAGTTTCTAATAACTATGTTAAATGTTAATTTATCTATTTTAATTTCAGATTTCTTCGAAATTTATTTAAATTTATGTAGGTTGGAAATTATTACAAATTTCCATCCTCACATCTATTTTAATTTCAGATTTCTTCGAAATTTATTTAAATTTATGTAGGTTGGAAATTATTACAAATTTCCATCCTCACATTTCCCTCCTTCTTTGAGAAAAAAAAATGAACTTGCCGCGATGCACTACCTGCATGCATAATTCCTGTGCCGTTTCTTTGGGCTCTTGAATACTTTGAAGAATTTGTCTTGGTCTGTACTAACAAGATCATAATCCTTCTGCTGGAGTACATCTAAGTTATTCATCGGCTTCTGCAGTTTTTGGGTGCTGAATGGTTTTGGAATTCCTAGGCTTAGTTCCTGTACTTGTATCAGAGGATTGTCTATCTTATCCTTCGGACGTGTGGAATCATCTTTTCCTTCTTGTGACTCTTGCTTTCGTTGACTATCGTGTTTAATTGAAACTTGTTGCAATGATTGTGTCGGACTTGGGGTTTCTTGAGTCAATCGAACTCGTTTGTTATGATTTTCGCTGACTGTAACCTTTTGTTGACCTTGTTGTGTTTCAATATCTTGAACTTTCTGTGGTTTTACGTGCCCTTTTGTATCCTGAATTTGTACTTGTGTTATATGGTGATTTTTCGTTGCATTGATTCTTTGTAGATTTTCTTCGATAAATCTTGGTTTTATCTGGCTTTGTAGTTTTTGTATTTCAACTGGTACTATTTCACGGTTTGGTGTGACTTGCTGTTGAATAGATACTTTGGGATTTTGTTTAATGGGTCTTGAATTTTGTTCTGGTTTGCATGCTTGGATTTGGAACTGATTTGGACGTTTAACTTTTGTAACTTGATCCTGATTGAACGATTTTCGGTTTTCTTTGATTGACGTGACACGTTGCAGTGTTTGGTGTACTGATACTTGCTTCGTTTGACTTTGAAATATTTCCTGATCTGGTGTAACTCGTGCTGGCTTAAATACTTCGGGATTCTTCTTTGTCAGTTTTGGATTTACTTGTCGTTGTGTTTCTTGCATCTGTGAATTTCCTCTGATGGGCCTAATATTTTGTGATTCTTGCTTTGGTTCGCATGGTTGGACTTGGAACATTTGTTGACCTTGCGTGTCTAGCTGTTGATTACATACTTCTGTAATTTTTCTGTCAGGCCTTGGATCTTGCGGCGGGGTTACGCGGCATTTACATAACGCTTGTTCTTGTGAATTTTCGTGTAGTGGTACTGGGTGTTGTTCTAAATAACTTCGGCGTTGCGTGGTTTGTGTCAACATGCTTAGCTTGGGTAGTGTTGATGTTACTGGATTTACAATTTTAGCTTTTGCTGTTGTTACTTGCTTCGGTTGGTTTTGTTGCTGATTACTTCGCTGCTGGATGAGTATAGGCGACTCGGAATTTGAACTGGAAATAACTTTGTCCTGTATCGGCGTGGTAGGTACGTGTCTCACTGTATTTTTTAATAGCATCGTTTGTGGATATTCAACTTCTATGCGACCAACTATCACTTCCTGTCGAACACCGCCTCGACTCACTTTATCCTGTTCTGCGCGAAGTTCTTCGAAGTCATCAGCTAGTATTGTTAATTCTGTTAAGCTCGAAAAGTCTCGACGTTTGATGTACATTTGGTACTCTGTGCGCATATTTCGGTATATTCGCTCCAATTGCGAATCTTGGTTCATGCCTGTGTGTCGCATAAGATATTTGATTTCCAGTACATAATCTTTAAAACTTTCATGTTCCTTCTGAACTCGTGCTCGCACCTCGTCTTCTAATCTGTCGAAATACCTATGTGAAAGGAAAAATTTTAGAAAGTCCATCTTGAAGCTTGACCAAAGGTTCCAATGCTTATTGTTATTGCGGTACCACATCAGTGCTTTGTCTTCAAGCAGTATGGGCATCATCCTGGGAACTAAATTCACGTCGATGTCGTCAAGGTCTGCCACCTCTTCTATGCTTTCCACAAAATCTATTGGATCTATTCCTCCATTGTACTTTACAGACCATTTTCGTATCCGCTCCACGCTTTGAGCATACGATAAGGCCATGATGTGCTGCTTATGCGAACGTCTTGTATGTTTCTCTGTTGTACTGGCTTGAATTGAACTATGAGCGAGAGTATCTAGATTTTATCTTATAATCATGATTGCCTGTGCCATTGTAACGTGGATATTACTTCGTTTTAATTTTGAGAAGTCTGTCTGTCCCTGCTCGGGCGCCAATTGTAACGACACGGATTCTCCCGTTTCGTTATAATTTATGCTGGGGTATCCTCAGTCTTTTCCAGGGGGTCGCTACAATAAATTTATATTCGCGGAGACAGGACTTCTCAAATAAAAGATTGTGTGTTAAATTTTAAATGTAGATTTATTTAAAATATTATTAATTCATGAAAATAGTATTTAAAAAAAAGGAATTTAGTTAAACGTAATTATGTAAACTTGAGATTACTAATGTGTACAATTCAATGACATAGTATTTTAAAAAAACAAAGTAAATTCATTAAACGTGATTAAACTTGAGAAACTTGAGATTATTTCCTGGTATTCTGCTGTATCTGGAGGTTGTTCCTTTGGAGCTCGGTGATCTCTAATCTGGTTCCGTGGTTTGTATCTTCGTATGATTACTTGCTCAATGCGTACCTGTGTGGGACAGAAGGATTAGTGTATATATAAAAAAATATATTTCCTTGTACGGTTATAGAATATCTATACAATAGTGTCCAAGTGTCTTGACTTAAAACCGCCCATGCACTTGTACACAATTATATATATATTTTAGTAATTTATACAACTAGGCTTAAAACCGCCACTGTGTCAGACAATATTTTTTTATATTTATTTATTTTATATTTTGACATACAATGCCACCGAGTGATCATACAAGACTCACTACCCTTACCAAAAATGCGTCGTCTTTTATACAGATCAGACGAGCTTTTTGTGTAGCGCACATACAATTGTTTTCTGCTGTTTTGTGAAGTTTTGTTTACTTTCCCGTTTGTATGTCTTACTTTCGTACTGTTCTTCAAGTTGTGCGCTCAACCGATCTCGTCTATCTCTTTGCGGCGAATTTCTATTTTGACGTTTTTGATATTTGCTTGTTATGTTTTGATTTGATAATTCTTGTAACTTTGCGTGCGGTGCTTCTTGTTTTTATTAAATTATTTATAATTTAATTTTATAATTATAAAAAATAATTTATTAGAAAATTATTTAAATAAATTTGTGGGGATGAACAAAGAAGGTATGTATTTATTATTTTATTAAGATATATTTCTCTATTATTACAAATTTCCATCCTCACATCTATTTTAATTTCAGATTTCTTCGAAATTTATTTAAATTTATGTAGGTTGGAAATTATTACAAATTTCCATCCTCACAAACTCATGCCATTGAATTCTAGTGGCGGGTCCAATACATCTAAAATTTTAATCTAAGTGCTTTAATTTTAAACTTTTTATTTTAGTTATGTTGATTTGAGGAATTTCAGAATAATAGATAGGGAAGCCTATCTATCATTTTCAGTAAAATGTAACAACATTTTTGTTTCGTTCGGCTTCATTTATCTTATTCTGAGAACGTTTTAATTTTGATTTGCGATTTGGGTATATAATTTTCGATATTTCGAGAAGTAAGCTACAATGGTTTATAGCTTAGTAACAAAATTACTCAAAATTGTTAATATTTCGTTGTCAAATTGAAGTGTCTATTATGCGTCTAAAACTTTTTATATTTATTTTACCAGGCAATTATACTTATATTTTCGTATCGTTAGAATAAAATTTGATTTTGTGTTTATTAACTTACATGCATTTTATTATCCTGATAGATATGTCCAATATTTTCAATGATTTTTTCATCGGTTAAATGCTCGTAGGGCTGTTCACGTGCAAATGTTAAAATTTCCCACATCGTTACAGCAAAGGACCAGACGTCAGATTTTGATGTAAATTTACCCTGAAAGGAAAACAAACGCATATCCATGAGCATTTAAATATTTTACACTATCAATTGACTTTAATAAATTTCTTATAAAACAATTAAAATCAATACCTAAAAATATATGAAATTAATTTTTGTTAGGTTTAAACCTAATTTTAGAATATATGGATAATATATCCTAAAAACGTTCGTTAGTTCAATAGGTATGTAATGATTTAATTTTCTACTTATAAAATTTTTGTGATTGGAACATCTCTAAAGACTGGATTTAAGTGTGCTAACAAACGGACGCTCGGATATAATACATTGATCTATACTCTATATTATATGATATGTTTATATTAATAACTAAATCAAATTTGAGACAAATATTCGGATTTTCATTTTCGACACAGGAAATTTTTTTTTGTGTTTCATATGTCCGAGGTTCTCAAAATATTCCTTTTCATGCTAAATTAAGGAAAAGAAAATTTCAGATCGATTGCATTGGGCCAACCCGTGCTGAGTTCAGCTTAAAGTTGTAAAATTATCTCAATATAGAAAAAATGATTAAAAGTGCTATTTTGCTTGAAAAATATATTACTTAAAGTTTTATTTCAAGAAAATAATTGTATGTTTTTACGTCATGATATTGAATTCACTGTAATGAACCTTTTCACGAGAATATAGATATATTATCTTATTTGAGACTTCGACAGACCTTCGCGTAACATTTACTTAAAATAGACGACTTTCCATCAAATTCCACAATTAGCTTGTTTAAGTTCAACTCTTAAGTATGAATCATATGTAACAGTACGTCTGATGAGGTGAATTTCAGATAATATACATTAATATGATTAGATTCACAATTAACGTATACACAATTCTTTTTTTGTTTTAATTTTCATATGTCTGCGGTTCTAAAAATATTCTTTTTGAAGAATAGCCATAGTTAGTCTTCGTTTTTAATTATGTCTTCTTCGTTTTGACTGTCGTCGATACACACAAGATATGAAGATATATTTCAATAGATGCAACGGAGAGGGGAGGCTTTATTTATATATTGTTTATCTGTGTTATAGGAAAGGAGAACTTTTTTTGATGGAAGTATTTAATATTTCATGTGAAGGTTGTATATGGGTCATGTGACAATATTGATATATTAGTTTCGTGTCATACCCTTACTTTAAAGATTTTGTTGTTCTTACCTGCAATAAAATAATATTAAGGCCTGTAAAATAGTTCATCCGTTTTTGGAATCACTAATAACACTGAGGAGACAAAAATAAAGTTTACCATATTTGCTATTTCAGTTCTTTGACGGTATTAGTGTCTTTAAACGGTATTTGGGCTTATTGAGATCAAATTTCCAATCCGTTTTTCCCTAGTAAATTAAAGTCTTTGACACCAATGGGTTAAAGTTAAAATTTTGCGAATTTGGAATACTTTTTTAGTAAAATTTTTGTTTCGTGTTTTCAAAAATCCGCTACAACTAAATATTAAACATTTTAGCTTTAGACATTCTCTCCTGAACTCCTTACCATCCATTTCAAAGAAGGATTTCACTTAAAATCAACCTGTAGGAGTATTCTGCCTCATGTACACATATATACACAAGCAAGCGAAATTTATGAATTTTAAAGTTTTTACCCAAAAGCTTATATATACATCCATCCATGTAAAATGTAAATATGTGGCAATATTGTTTTCTCTCTGCCTCTCATTTCTTGTGCTCTTAGATTAATATTTAATTTTGCCATGAGGTTTTAATTCCGAAAATCTGTTTATTTTGCTTTTGTAAATCGATGGCATGCACTCAACGTTGTTTTATATGAATAGACACCAGCATTGAAATTGTGAAATTGAAAATAAAATCGTTTGGCAACATTAAAATATGATCTAGGAGTTGATAAGCCCCCCAGCCATTATAGAGTAAAAGTGCGTAATAGCACTAATTCAAGAACAAGAACAAGAACAAGAAGAAGGAGAAGAAGAAGAAGTTGTCACACTAGTGCGTTCCTAAGGCAAGGCTCATACTTGGTGAGTGAGACTTCATCCAAGTCATTAAGCTATCAATCGCAAAATACAACAAATTTACAATCAAGGCCAGCAACAATCTCGAATATGAGTACAATATCAGTGCAACGAACTAACACAACCTAAGATGGTAAAAGAGATCAATTTCCCCTATTATCCATCCAGTAACATGTTGCATTTATGGTATGGTTTAGAGGTTTCTTATATACATGTATCTTAGATTGATAATACTTTTTTTGAATAATCAAAAGTTTTTTTGATAACATGCGCTTGTAAATCTGCAATATAAATTTTCTTCTAGTTCGTCCTTGGGAAAAATATCGCTCTTCTACCTACTTATATTGTTCCTATTCTTGTATGCTGCGTAACGCTACGTTTCAATTACTTGCACGTTCTCAAAGAAGTCAAGACCTATTTTCGTGACATTGACATAATGTTAAGTACATAAAAACTAAATTGAAAAATGAAAAAAGTATGTTCTTATTAATACCTAAACGAAGCAATTTGAAGGGTTAATAAGAGCCAGACTAGTACACAGCGGTATATTTTAAGACGTATCATTACAATTACTGATAATTATTTAAAATTATTATGATTATTTCCAATTTTAATTGATTTAAACCTACTATTATCGGGTCTCCTCGATTTCATCTGAAAAACCAAATGATTTAACAAGAATAACAACAGTTAGCAACTCGCCTCTTCCGGCATAATTGTTAAGGGTATCACAACGGGAAATATATGCCTCCGAGTGGAAGTGCTGGCAACTGTCAGCACACGCCTTTTGAACCTAACCTAACTTATCATTATTACTTTAATTATCTACCTATCTGTGTTTTTAGTATTTGTACCGATTTAAATTATGTCTTCAGATCGATGGAAGTTAGTAATTCTTTTCTGGTACTGTCAGTAACTTTTCGCAGATGTTAATATGTGTGCGCTTGCATTTGTCTTCTTCCCGGGTGATGTTATGCCCCAGAGCAACACAATATGAAACAAAATGTTTTCCCTTTTATTCCGTGGTCACATACATACGTACATATATATATATATATATATATATACATACGCTCACATGCACATATTAGTGAGCGCAGGATTGTGATGTTCGCACTGTTAATTAATTTATTTAGTGCGGTTTTTGCTTTGGGAGTTACATCCGTAAAATATATTTAACCACAGATTTTAATGAAATGTCGAGTTTATTTGGCGTAAAAACGGTTTCTTTTAAAAATGTTATGCTGTTGAAATATGCGAGCATATTATGTTTGAACAGAAGAATTGCCAGTGGCTTTCACAGGACAACAAAGAATAAATTCTATATGAATTGTTTTTGTTTTAGTTGAATTAATTTTATTAACTGTTTGTATCGAGGTAACACGATGGGGTATTGGATTTATGTATCTTGTACGGTGAATTATATGTAGTATAATTAAATTTAACGAATATAAGTCAATAATGATGAAAAAATTAACGCACTGAAATCAGATACCTGCAAATCAGATACACCTGTTAAAATCCTTACTAACCCCAAGCTAAGCTATATATAATATAAATATATAACATAAAATATAAATTTATTTTATTAAATGTTATTATTATTAGATATCACTATGTGCCATCTGATGGTATTAATTTATTTTATTTCAATAAGATAGTATAATTTGATATCACAAATATAATATTATACTTAATTCTCATTTGTTTTTCATTTTTAAAAACTTAAGCAAATAGTTTTTAAGCGTTGAAAACTACATATATTATTAAACAAGCTTTATAACAAGAATTTCATCAAAGATTTTATTTTAGTATAATAATAAAAAGACAATGGGTGAATTCGGCCACTCCAAAGTGGATCCAGAATATAAGTATCTAGCTGAAGCGTTTAATTTGTACACAAAACAACAACACTACTCTCTTGCACTAAGAGACTAGTTATAAAGTCTCTTATCTTTTAAAGTATATTTCAGTTAACTGTCAAAAGTTGATTGCAAATAAAAATTTTAATAAAATTCTCAGTTTCATAAATTTAAAAATGATCAAGAATACATTAAGAAAGTGCAATTTAAGTACATCTAATTTTTGAACTTGTTAGCTGCTAAGGCTAAGGCATAAATTAAATTAAGGCATAAATATTTTTAAAATTGATTAACTTTGCTATAAAAGTAAATTTAAAATTTGATAACATTGCTTTAAATATGCAAATCACTTTAATTTTCACTTTTTCAATAAAAATTTAAATTCATGCAAAGTTTAGTCAGAAAAGATAATATTTGACAGATTCTAAAGTGATGTCAACATCACAGACTTCAGCAACAGACTTTAGCAAGAGACATATCTATTGTCGCACCTTAGAGCGGCCAAATACACCAAATGTAGCATTTATTCCCATAAAGGATATTATTAAATTTAACAACTTATAATAAAGTTAAATGTTTTGGAATTTTAGGTTAGGTTAAGTTACATGCGATTCCTAGGGGATCCACTTGAGTCTATCGGCCCATTGTGTCATCATTTATTTGGGTTTATATTTAGGGTTTAAAATCAATTAGAACATTTGGCGACGCTAGAACTAGAATACTGTTAAGTGGGAGATCTTGTAATTGATTAAGATCCTCAAGAAAGGAGGCCACTAAAGTGTTGAATCACCATCGTGCTTGACCCGGGCAAAGACAGAGTAGCTGATAGGCACTTTCTCACAGCTGTGATATAAATGATTGAAGGGGAGATTCAATCTTCTAGTATGGTTTTCTGGTCATTATAGAAAATCTGCCATAAGAGTGATATCTCTACAGGGCATCTCAATGAGATTGTTGAATTGTATACAGATGGAAAATAGCTAAATTGCATACAGATGCTTACATATTGTTGAATCTTCCCATCTTTTATTAAAAAGGTGATATTTGTAGTATTTTTTATTAGAAGAAGCAGTATTTTCTATATTAATAATTAAAACAAATTGATAAGCTTTTGTTGATAGTTGTCCAAGCTTTTGCACCATACAGCAGTATAGGAATGAGATATGTAGAGCATGGTTCTTGTTAGTTGTTGTTACTTAGCCCGAAGTAACATCTGTTGGCAAGAGTGATTCTTCGTTGAAACTCTAGGTTAATAAAACTCTAGGTGAAATTAAGCCCACAGCAACAGTCTAGAATAGTCTAGAATAGTTCTACTTGCGCCTTTAGGCGCACAATAGGTCTTTTAGGTCAGGGTATATGTTCAATATTGATCAAATTGAAACCTCTTAAGTCAAAATTTTTCATAATTCGGCATAAATTTATTATCTTAGTATGAGTAAAAAAGGATATCGGTTATCAGTGCTTTTTAATAAACTTCAAATCGAGACAAGAACGTTGTATAGCTGATTGTGTATTTATTGTCATGGTACTATTGTATAGTATATAAGCTGCATAAATATTAGAAAATCTATAAAATTTGTAATATTATGTACATTATCTATAATTGAATTTCTAGTGTCTGTGCCTAATTGAGTCTGTGTGACGTACCCCAGAAAGCGACGGTATTCAATGGTTTCTGTGTTAATAAGTGATAGGTTAGGTACTGGAAGTTTTAAAAAAAAAAAAAATTGCTTAGAATAAACTAAATCATTAACCTATTCACGACCAGAACACGTGATTTACAAAGCGTTTTAATCGACTACGTCCGCTCAAAACTTTGGAATGGTTGACATTTTTTATGTGAAATGGTCAAATTGTCCTTTTCAAGCTTAAAAATCAACTTAAGTATTTTATTCTGACACTTTAATATTGACATTGAAGCTTTCTAATAAGAGTTTAGCTGCAAATAATTAAGAAATCATTTCTTTACGTCAAAAACAACTTTTTCTGTTTTTATATTATTGGATTAAACTAAAACTTTCGAAAAAATTCTTCATAAATTTTTTATTATAAAGTTTTTACCATTGCTATAAAAATGTCAATGGGCCGGAGGAGCGGCTTGTTTCAGCAAACGGATTACTGTACCTTTTCTGTAAATAACTAGAAATACTTTCCAAAAATTTTGCTAGCCAAAATAAGTCTAATTAAAGCGAAAACTGTCGATAATGACATGGATAACTAAAAGCGTTGCAGTTGCAAGGATGCTTCTAAAAGTTAAAGTTTATGTAAATCAACGGAAATTTATAGTAAAACTATTAAAACAGTTTAATTAAAAAAACAAGCTAAGCCATGGGAAAATATATTATAATAGATCCTTATCCATGTATCAACTTTTGAAGGCAAAGTTAATACGTGCCTTGTTGCGTTAAAAATTAAGATCCTTGCAAGAGGAAGCTGATGACACAGTCATGGGTGATTAAATAAGTTATGTGTTGACATTAAAGTCGAAAACTATGTTTTCATGATGACGTACGTCCTTGAGAGACAGACGTAAGTATTAAAGTTTACCATTTAATACGAAAATTAATTAAGGTGAAAATATTTTAAATATTTTAAATATAAAAATATATATACCAAAAGGATTAAATGTATTTAAAAAACATATAGTAAGTAATTTTTAAAAATTGAAAGTTAAATTAAAAAAGAAAATGCTATATTTGTGAAATACTTCTTAATCAGTGCTATGCAAAACTTTTTGTCTATTTAGTTTTGACCAGATACCCTAGAATTTTACTAGCAATTATTAGCAGTACAATTCGTTAATTCCACCCAATATATATTATATAATATATATTATATATATTATATAAAATATTATCTTTATATGTGGGTAAAGATAAAGCTTATTAGGCATTTCCAACATTGGCAAATACCAATAACTAATTGAGCTAATGGTCTAAATTACAATTATTATTTTTGATTTTTCTGCTAATTAGCAGGATGGTTTGTTGAAAGTTCCGATCATGCGTGAATCCCATGATCAATGCTTTCACCTTTTCGTCGTAGATGTAAACATAGAATAACAGAACTACGAAGGCAGTACTTTTCTGGAGTTTTTAATGGGAGGCAGTCTTGAATAGTCTGCCGCCCAGTCGATCGGAGTCGTGAGTTAGTCTTTGAGGAGGAGTACCTCTAAGTTGTAAAGTGAGTTGTAAAGTTGTAAAGTGTAAGTTGTAGAGTGAGTTTTCTACTATCGAAACGGCAGGCGTTGAAATTGAAAGTGATCATAAGAGTGGTATGAAAAATTTGAATGTGATTATATTTAAATGAAATGTACGGCAACAATTGATAAAATAAGTGTACTAAATTTCTATTTATAATTCGTTGAATTGGTTGAACTAAGGATAAATAAGTATGAATGAATTACTAATCTTTATATGAACAGTTTAATACAGTAATATGACAATATTAATAACAATATAACAATAACACAACTAATGATATTTAATAGTACCGGTCAAACGGTCAATGAGGAATATTATTTGGCCGTTATGCGTCGTTTGCGTGAGGTCATTAGCAAAAAGAGGCCAGATTTATGGAAGAAATACTCATGGATTTTACACCAACATAACGCACCGGCTCACACAGTGTTGGTTGTGTCGCAGTTTTTGGGCAAAAACTCTTCCAATATCATCAACCAAGCACCGTACTCTCCAGATATGGCCCCGTGTGTTTTTTTCCTCTTCCCCCCACTCAAATTGCCTCTGTTTTGAGACTACACAAGCCATAAAAGAGAATTCGCTGCATGAACTAAAGGCCATACCTTCGGCGGCCTATAAAACTTGTATGGAAAATTGGATCAAGCGTTAACATGCATGTATTGCCGCAGGAGGAGAGTACTTTGAAGGCGATAATAAAGAAAATTATTAAAATTAAAATTTTACGTTTTTTTTTAAATTCTCGTAATACACCTATTAAATGTAAACTTACACAGCTATATTTTTAGAAGAGAATTGGTAGACTGCAATAAAAAAATGTATTGTACGAACTCTGGATTGAGTTTCCTGAGCTGAAACGAAAAATTTAGTGCTATTGACAAACCAAATATCTCTTGACTAATAATTGCAGTGCATAAGTAGATAATATAGGTTGCAATTATACTCTGCACTTTACAGAATTTAAAGGAATTGGTATTCGCTTAGTTCCGTCTTGAAAGCTGGTAGTTAACAGTACCATGTTCGGTTAAGGAATTACTAATTGGTCTGAATTTACAGTTTTTCGGACTTGGAAGCTTCTTAACATTATGTTGTTGACTCCAACGAGCTATTCGAATTGTATTAGGCCTTTGGAATTGGACTAGCTCGTTGCAAATAGTTCATATTTTAAACGTATTATTTTATTTTTTTGCTTTTTGAAAAAAAAGTTCTTCTGATAAAACATTTATTTGAACTATGAGGTTTTTTACATGTGTCTTAAAATTCAAACCGTAGTGATAGATACACTACAAACAAAATGTGCTGAGGATTAATTGAGAGTAACATAATTTTTAATATAAGAACTCATGGAATTATTTATATCTATTGGAATTATATTGTAGCCTCAGTCTATACAGTTTTTCGACCACATGCTTAATATAAGCTACAATAAGTAAGTTCATTAAGAAAATTTGTTGAAAAATATTAAACTTTATCACAATATCAATTTGTAACAAAACACTTTCAACAGCGATTCCGAAATGTATTATATGGAAGTGATAGACAATAATAATATAATAGACAATAATAGACAATAATAATAGACAATAATAATAGACAATAATAAGTGCTTAAGTGCACTAGCTTCCACATAATAATTATATTGCGTAAACTTACCAAGAGAACACTCTCCCAAGCCATCCAGCGTATGGGCATAGGTTGCGTTTGACGTCCAGTAGCACCTTCTAATTGGCAATAGTCCGTTACATAAGCAGTACGATTTATCACAGTGCCAATTGAACATACTTTTACTGTCAATTCGGGACCAATAATGCAACTTCTAGAAAAGAATTAAGAATAATAGAAAATAATATATTGGGGTTAAAAAGTTATTATTGTTATAAGAGAAATTTGCATAAAATAAAACATTAAATTTCAAATGCGCTTTAAATTTCATTCAATCTAAAATTCAATTAGAAATGTTTGTTCCAAAAAAATTTCATGGAAATGTGTGTTTTCATGAATAAGGGACTTTCAGGACTTACACACTTACACACTTACACCCGTACACCAAATACATGCAACACGAAAATCACATAAACATTTTATTTAGGGTTGCAGAATATTAACCCCGAAACGAGAACAGTCCTCCCAAGTGACGTAAAAAATATAAGCAATCGCCTCATTAGTATTGCCAACGGCTAAGCTAAAAATAAAACACAAACAACAACAGCAAACCGGAAAGAAGTTAAAGTGTGTGGGTCGAAAAATATATAACTCGCAAGTCAGTTACTAACATAACATTCTATTTGCTCATTTGTTGTTGTTAATTTTGGTTTTACTTTATCGAACTCTCTGCCAGCCTTAGAGCAAGCAACTGCACAAGACTATAGCCATTGTGTTCGTATGTGTGCATATAGAGCACAAACAGTGGCAACAATAAATACACCAACATCTGCAGTAATAACAACCAACAAGCAAAGTCAAAGAATTCAAGGCAATTAAAAACAGAGTCGTTGGTTGCGTTGTCGCAGCGCTGACAGCATTAGTAATAAACTACTGAACATAGGTGTGATAAGTATGTGGACTGCGAGCAGTGCCAGGTAGCAGTCCATTGTTGCTACCTATTTGGTAAATAGCAACAATAAAGAGGCACAAAATCAAGTCATGCCAATGTTAATTAAAAGCGCTGAGTGCTAAGCTAAGAGCTTCTAGCGCTTCAACTCCACTACTTACGCTTCCGCGTCCCTTACGCCATTATCGCACTTTTACATTGTGTATATTATTTCGTCAGTCACTGAGTCACTTAGTCACTCAGTCAGTCAGTCAATATTTCTGTTGGTCAATTACTTCCATAGCAACTTTGGGGGGATTTTTGGCAATACTTTAAGCAACAAAAAAAATTAGCTCGTAATCCTTTCATAATCGTTCATTTTTTCCATTGCTGTTATTGTTGTTGTTGTTTTTTCGTTTAAAATATTAAAAAAGCTTAAAATATTTGCTGCCAAAAATCAGTTAAAAAGGTAAAATGAACTTTTAAGTACTTAAAAATGCAGGATTCAGGATTCGGGATTCAGTGTTGAGAACTCTCATAAAAAATGCAACGAAAATTCAGTTTCGTTTGCTGGCGTTTGCTGGCGTTTGATGGGTTGAAGTAGGGACGAATTATTTAATTATTTAAAAGGATTAAAAATGCATGAAATTCTATAAGTTAATCAAAATTTGTGTATTTTAAATTTTGTGCTTGAAGAATAATGAATGCGGGGATGGTACACAATAATGAGAATTCGTGGTGTTTTTGCTTGGCTGCCAAGGTTTATTGGTGTGAGGGTAACGCTGGAGTAATAAAAGGACTAAGTAATTAGTAATTTTATTTTCAGTCCTTATAAGTTGTGAAATTCGCCTGTGATTATTGACATTTAAGCATTTTTAAAGTTTATGAATGACAGGACAGGAAATATTAATTTTACATGATTAATTAACTTAATTAAAGGGCAAAAATGAAAACTCATATTTTTATATATATTTAAATTTAAAACGGGGAACTGATCGCTTACGACCCAATTATTACTAATTAGGGGATTGCCATAACTGCTGCTTGCAGTTATCAAAAAGCTAAGAGCCAGTTTATTGGAAAATATGGAACAGCCAACACGTTTATCTATTTTGAAGGTATTTACCGCGTTAACAGAAACCACTTTGTCTAAAGCCCAGTTTCTTTTAGGTATAAGGAAATCGAACCCCAGATCGGGGTCTGGATTAGAGCAAATGACACTGTCATTGAGATAGGGACTTGCAAATCCTGATTCAGTCTGATTGCGTGTGTCCTATGTTAATTTAGGCCTACTGACGAAGAGCGATGAGACTGATTGCCATTAATTTAGCTGGTTGTTTTACCAGAAGTCAAGAGGGCAGCTAATGAAGCAGACTAAAGAGCGTCTTCGTGTAGGTGGAGCGTAGAGCTCCAGTGACTTGCAAGGCAAATGTGATTTGTATAAGTATATACAAAATGCGAAGGAACACGACTGAATTCACGACTGAAACGAAATTAAAGTTTATTAGGTCATTTATTTATCATATTATAGTGAAAACATCGAAAAACGAAATATTGTTAGATGTGACTAAATGACAACTGGAGAAATTGTTAAATTGAAGATTTAGGCATCAGTAAACTTTCTATATATTGGTTGTCGCGATTGCTGACATTGAACTAAAAATTTAGTCACTTTAATAAAATGACAAACATTGTTGTCTCTTTCAATGCTTGAAATTTTAACATTTAATTTTATTAACTCAAGAGCTTAACAAAAATTCAGAAATTACAATTAATTACAATTAAATTTATTAAAAACAATTAAAATTAAAATTAAATCAAAAATACATGAACAGATAATGGAATCGAAAATTTTACTATTAAATTTATTAATTATACATAAAATTTTTTTCCTATGGTTGATCAGAGACCTGTAGATGTGTGAACGACCCTCCGTGTCTTTTATGCATTTGAGTCTCTGATTGTCCGGAACATGAATTATGTGTAACATTTCCAACATAAGCCTACGGCTATAATTTGGCTTTTTGTTGATGATCTGTACTTCTTTAAAATTTGGAGTATGGTTCATGATAGAACAATGGGTCGCTAATGCTGTCTTTTGATAATTGGGAGTTGATCTGCTCTTTATGTCGTGTTTGTGACCAGCGATTCTCATCCTAAGTTTGTTTTTTGTTGTACCAACATGTACCTGCTGGTATATGTTAGACCCTTCACCTCCCCATGAAATTTTGTATACGACATCGTGCGCATCTAATTTGTCCATTGAAGTTTTTCTTTTCTTTTCTAATATGTGCGTGTTTTCATTATAGCACTTCGATTTGCTGAAATTATCCGAAATCCCAATGATATCATAAAAATGCTTCTCTATCTCTATAGCTTTTACTTTACAAAACTAACTATACTGAAGGTTAGCTAGCTGGTACTGAATTCGTAATAAAAAACATCTAAGATATGACTCCGTTGCCTCATATTCCTAAGACTTCCTGCAAGCCACATCGATTTTTTCTCATTTCACTATAACATTTCCTCAGTTTATAGAATTATTCTGAAGATTTCGACTGTGCAATCCCAAATACAAACAGTTGCATTGCATTATGCAGAAGTTATAATTTCTTTTGTAGAAGGGAGCAAAACCAAAATTAAAACTAATTATTAATATTAAATTTAATTATAAAAACTATTATTAGTGTAATAAGAGGTAAAAAATATACTGTGTGGCTGACAAAAATTGCAACAAACTTTGCACCCATTTAGCTATCAAACCAATAATGACAGAAATCTCAAAATTAATTCATTTGACAGTTTATTATCTTGCTTAGGAGAGAGCTAAAAGTATCGCGAGAAAAAATGTATTTTGAAAAATGAGCTCGGAGTAAAGCCATAGAAGTTGAACAAAGTGCATGATCTAACTCGCTCTAAAAAGTTGGAGTCGAAAAAGCTAAAGTGTTCGTTCGTTTGACCGAGAGTGGTGGGTCGCCGAATTTGATTTTTTCTTATGAGTCGCCATTTCTAATTGAGTAGTACCTCGAAATTTATTTGTCAGAGAGGTCAGTTGAAATTTTAAACATACGAATGGCCACCAGAAAGCAGGCGCCAACGATGGTGATGGTGTGGCCCACTATAATGGCCAATGTTTGCTCTCCGCTCCTGTTCGTTGACCGTGTGATGAAAATAAATGCTCAAATCTATCGGGAAATTATTTTAAAGGGAGCACTAAAGCTCTGAGCAGATAAGCACTTCGATCGCAGGCGTTGGACATTCTAATAGGACTCAGCACCATCGCACAAAGCACGCGATGGTGTTTTTCAGCCATTCAACCCAGAATGGCTATGATATACCAGGTGTACCTTTATGAAATGAGCGTTTTTTGGTGAAAATAAAACACTAATTATTAATAGGAAAGTAAAAAACATTTTTTTCAAAGTATTGGCCATTGCTTTCTACACATTTTGACCACCTTTCTGGCAATTTGTGGATACCACGCCAAAAAAATTGTTCGTCTTTTAAAGCAAACCAACTAGACACCCAATTTTCGACCTCCTCGTAGGAATCAAAGTGCTGCTCAGCCAATGCGTGTCCCATCGATGAAAACAGATAGTAGTCGGAAGGAGCCAAGTCTGGTGAATACAGCGGGTGGGGTAGCAGCTCCCAGCTAAGTGTTTTGATTGCATCCTGAACCCGTTTTGCTTTGTGTGCAGGTGCATTGTCATGGAGCAGAATTACCTTGCCGTGTCTTCTGGCTCATTCTGATCATTTCTCGATCAATGCATGGTTCAAATTTATCATTTGTTGTTCATAGCGACCAGCATTGACGGGTTCACCAGGTTTTAGGAGCTCGTGGTACACCACATCTTTCTGGTCCCACCAAACACACAGCATTGTCTTCTTGCCGAATCGATCTGGTTTTGCAGTCGATGTTGATGGTTGTCCCGGATTAACCCATGATATTTTCCATTTAGGATTCTTAAAATAAATCCATTTTTCATCGCCAGTAACAATCGGATGCAAAACCGATTTTCTTTCGTGTCTTTGAAGCAAAATTTCACAAGTGTTTTTTCGGTTTTCCATCTGTCTTACATTCAATTCATGTGGCACCCATTTTGCACACTTTTGGATCTTTCCCATAGCTTTTAAACGGTTAGAAATTATTTGTTGTGCAACATTTAACATTTCTGCCATTTGCTTTTGACCCAAAGTGTCATCTCCATCCAATATCGTTTGCAATTCGGCGTCTTCAAACTTTTTTGGCGGTCTTCCACGTTCTTCATTTCTCACATCAAAATCATTATTTCTGAACCGTTGAAACCATCTTTAGCATGTTGCTTCTGATAGAGCATCATCACCATATGCCTCGACAAGCATTCGATGCGACTCTGCACCACTTTTCTTCAAATGAAAACAAAAAATTAATGCTTTCCGCAAATCATCAGTTTCTGGTACAAAATTCGACATTGATGAACACGATGAAAAAATATAATGTTGTCTGTTCAATGACTTGATGTATACTAAATATATTTCACACATGTCATAGCAAACAAATAAATGTTCCCTGTCGGAACATTTGTATCTTTACGCTCACTTCATACCGGTACACCTGATAAACTCTTTAGATTTCTCTGTCTGGGGTATATTAAAAAAGTAAAGGTGGCATTAAAAAATATCAAAATGTCGATCGTCTGCATTGGCTGTTTGAAGGCTATAATTTATGCTAGAGGTGGCCATATTGCATTAAGATAAATAATTTTAAACATTTTAAGTTCTTTTCGCATGCTTCCATCCATCTTTCATTTAACAAAAATAAACAAAATAGAGAGTTTAACTTTGTTGCAATTTCCATCAGCAACCCTGTATAATATATGTGTTAGTCACTTCCAATCTGTTATAATAGTTGATGAGCGAATATCAAATAGTAGCAAAATAGAGTGAAAAAAGTTATACTCTAAGGGAATAAGAAAAGTTTGTAACAATAAATGAGCTTGTCAAAAAGCTTCATTAGCTCTTATGAGATAGTAAACGCTACTCAACGGCATAGTGAAGCCGATTTTTCTACTGATGAGAAAGAATTAACACCCGAAATTTACTCGATTTTTGGATCTTGAAGAAGAGGACGTCCCAAAAATGTAGGCGGTGTCCTTTCCAGATTTTACAAAAATAAGTAACGATGATCCTTTACAGCCTAACCAAACTAAAATTAGTCAACGTTA